AACACGGAGTAAGATCTGTAATTAAAACAGCTCCACAGTTACCTACGACGTCCCATTTAAAAGTGGATTGTAGACAAAACTTAAAACTAGCCCTCCAAAGCTTAGTAATTAAACCAGTCTTTGTTCTTCCAGCGAAATCAGCAGACGATTCACTTCCAAACTTGTCCATAAAATCTCGCCCATATGAACTTCATTTCTTGCGACTGTGTCATTAGTTTCAACTCAAGACTTCGAAACGGCACTATGGTACATAAATAAATCGACGAAACAAAACTGCGCACTGGTAGCAACTGCCTTGCTAAAAAAATTAATGAGCCAACAGGATTGCATTAGTCTAAACAACCAGTCTCGGCTAGGTATCCTTGATTCGACTGCACAGCTGGCAACAGGAGCTAGATGCTAGTCCACTGACGAAGTTCAAACCAAGAGTAATGTACTGGTATTGACACCACTGCCTATTCAACAAAAGCACTTCGGCAATACGGCTATTCATCGCAACAGATGTACAGCTCCCTATAAATAATTCATTCTCTAAAAGGTGCACATTTCCCTCGGCACACACCGCTCTTTCGGTCACTGGAAAGATCTACATGTGATGGAAAATCAAATAAGTAGAAACACATTAATTCATGAATCTATGTTCCTAACAACGTCGCACATCTGTGCTTGCACTTGCATGTTCACCCACAACCGGGTTGTCTTGTTTGACGCTCCTGTTGTCCTTTACTTCTACTTGTACTACTACTACTACTACTACTACTACTACTACTACTACTACTACTACTACTACTACTACTACTACAACAAAAACTCCGTGGTTTTAGTCCGCAAGCAAACTGTACCGACCGCCTGTGTTCTAGTAGTCAGAGTTCCTGGCTACAGATCCAGAGGTCCGGGTTCAATTCTCGGTGCTACCAGATTTTCTGAGAAGTGGCGGGTCTTGAACGGGGTCCACTCAGCCTCGTGAGAATAATCGAGGAGCTATTTCAAGGAAATAGTGGATCCGGTCTAGAAAACCGAAATTAACGGTTGTGGAGATTCGTTGAGCTGGCCACGCGCAACCTCTATCCGCTAAAGTTAGCACTAACTTCGCCGACAAGCGGCGGTCGCTCGGTCGGTATGGTTCGCCTGAGGACTGAAATCACGGAGTTTTTCTTAAGGGCATGTCAGCAAAATATACCACAGAGACCACGTTCTTCAGAGAGGACAAATGTACCCTTGTGTACAGAGTTCAAAGAAATTTATCGTTCGCCGAAATCTGAAACGTGGTAAAACCAAACTACAATCCAAAACGTGTTGCTTACGCGGTTGGCATTACAAGTCTGTAAAATGCAGCTGTGACGCAAAATCAAAGTCAATTGGCCCGGAAAGCGTAGATTATGCTAATTTCATGGTAAACGACATTGATGATTTTTCTTAAAGCGAGACTTCATAGAGTAATGATAATGGCGTTAGGGCAGTAAACTTCGCCACATCAAAAAATCTTACTGTCAAAAGTACAATGTTCCCGCATTGTAACATCTATAAATTTACTTGGACATCTCCTGATGGGAAGATACGCAATCATATCAACAATATCTTGATAGATAGGAAACGGCATTCAAGTTCACTTGATGTCCGATCATTCAGGCCAGCAGATTGTGATACTAACCACTACCTGGTGGGGGCAAAGGTTAGGGAAAGACTGGCGGTGAGCAAACAATCAACGCACAGAGTTCATATGGAGAGGTTCAATCTCAAGAAATTAAATGAAAACGAAACGTATAGTAAAGCCCGTATAGGTAAACATTTGTCTGACAAATTTCCTATCCAGAATGGTCTAAGACAAGGAGATGCTTTATCGCCACTCCTTTTCAACTTTGCTTTAGAACATGTCATTAGGAAGGTCCACGAAAAGCAGGTGGGACTGAAATTAAACGGGACACATTAGCTGTTGGTCTATGCCGATGATGTGCACCTATTGGGTGATCATATACGTAGGGAAGTAAAAAATTATCCGCACTCTTGTTTCTCCAATTTATATATACAAAAGTAGGGGTTGAACAAGTACTTCATTTTTCTATACAATCTCCTTCCTTTTCAACACACTTGGTCCAGCGGTCCACAAGCTTGCGTATTCCCTCCAAGAAGATTTTCGGTTGGTCGCGCAACCATTTATGCACCGCTTCTTTGTCCCTAGAAAATCGACGACTTCGTAAACCATCTACGAGCGGTCCAAAGAGATGACAGTCAGAAGGGACGAGATCTGCGCTGTAGGCAGGGTGTTCCAGCACCTCGAAACCCAAATGGTTAATGGTTTCAACGGTCTGGCCGTCCTTGTGTGAGTGCTCATTGTCATGCAACAACAACACTTTCTTCGACAATAAGCCTCGGCGTTTTGGTGCGAATTGCTGGCTTCAGATTGTTGGCCAGCAAATCATTGTGCCTTACACTGTTGATCGTACACCCTTTTTCCAGGTAGTCTTCCAGTATAGGCCTTTTTGAGTCAGAAAACACGGTTAGCATCACCTTTCTCGCGGAATATTGGGTCTTGAATTTCTTCTTCGTTGGCGATCTCAGGTGTTTACACGCCATACTCTGGCTTTTGGATTCTGGCTCATAGTGATGAACCCACATATGAATTTCAGCCCCTGACACACCTTCCAACCAGAGAAATCGGATCACCATTCTCTGTTAATCCTTGGTGCAAACTGCTAGCGGAGCGGCCATGTTTGTCACAGCATCAAGGAAAATGACGCAATCAAGGTCAAAATTCGATCAAGTGGCCACAGTAGAACCAACTCTAAGCATGCATGCGAAGAAGGCAGTGCGACAAACCTAATGTGTTGTTATGGCGAAACTGCGGATAATTTCTGACTTTCCCTAGTAGATACTATAAAGAAAAACACACAGACTTAACTGACGGAAGTAAGGAGGTTGGTCTAGACATAGAGAAAACTAAGTATATGTTGCTGTCTCGTCACCAAAATGCAGAGCAAAATCATGACATAAAGATAGGAAACAGATGCTTTGAAAATGTGGCACAGTTTAGATATTTGGGAACGACGATAACAAATCAAAACCTGATTCATGAAGAAATTAAGAGGAGACTGAACTCGGGTAATGCGCTCCATTATTCAGACCAGAACCTTTTGTCTTCTCGTCTGTTGTCCAAAAACATAAAAATTAGAATACACAAAAATATAATTTTGTCTATGGTTCTGTCTGGGTGTGAAACTTGGTCTCTAACATTAAGGGAGAAACATAGACTGAGGGTGTTGAGAATATTTGGACCGAAGAGGGATGAAGTGACAGGTTGGAGAAAACTGCATAATGAGGAGCTTCATAACTTGTACTCTTCTCCAAGTATAATTAGATTGGTCAAGTCAAGGAGGATGAGGTTGGCAGGGCATGTAGCACGAATGGGAGAGAGACAAGGATTGTGTAATGGATATTGGTTGGAAAGCCAGAAGGAGAGAGACCACTCGGGAAACCAAGGCGTAGGTGGATGAATATAAAAATTGATCTTAGAGATATAGGATGGGATGGTATGGATTGGAGTGATCTGGTTCCGGATGGGGACCACTGGAGGGCTCTTGTGAACGCGGTAATGAACCTTACGGTTCCATAAATGCTCGGAAATTCTTAGGTAGCTGCAGAATTGGCTTCTCCTCAAGAAGGGCTCAGCTCCATAAGTAAGTAAGAGACTTAATAAACGGAACTTAGTACACACAATGGGTCACATTACTCGTTGTAACCGCAGAATCCACAGAGCAGAACAGCCACACTGAATGTCTGAGTTTGTACGCACCACTCTGAAGACGAATGTGTGGTGTGGAATTTTGTAATGCAGCACGGTAGAACGTTTTCTTCCTCAGAAAATTTTCCTATGGCTTCGAGATAGTTGGCTTTCAGCAGAAAAGTTCCTGACGAGTATGAGTAGTATTCGGGAAGTGGGAAGTTCGAATTCTTAAGCGGCAGCACCGACTATCTTGGCTGAGGTATTTCGTGGTACTGCTCAGTCCCTCTAACAAAATGCCGGGTCACTAGTTGAAATTCGACCACGAGCGTTTCTTTCCACAATATTTCCTTTTCATTATTCTGTTCCATGCAACCACCGAACACGCTGGTACAGTGACAGGGCTTGTAATCAGTAGGTGCTCGGTTGGGCTGGCACAGAGGCTAACGTAATAGGGTTTTCGTGGGTTTTACATAGTCCGTGCAGGCAACTGCCGCCATACCAGCTCGACGACTGCTACCACGGGCACTTCCTTCCAAAACCTTTCATCGGTTTTGTTTTTTTTATGTTTATGACTCATTCCCACATCCGCTGTGTTGTGGTTATGTTACGTAAATTACGCAGGGTGCGTAGTCTTTTGCATCGGTGTACGTTCTAACACTTTCGATAATACTCTGACGTATTTGCGCTATGCAGGACACCCCCTCCGCCGCCAGCAGTGACGTAACACCTTCGGAGAGTTGCCGCTGCTACGGTAATAGGCCAGTAAACACCCCGCCCTTCCGGTGGTGACGTGACCAAGGGATGGCGCGGTTGCTATGCAGCAGTAAACAACTCCCAACAGAGTTGCTAGGCGGCTATCGGCAAACACGGCGTCAGGCAACAGCGGTACCTATCACGTAACTGCTTTCTATCTTGTCCGTGCCGAGGCTAAATAAGGAGCAGCGAACACTATTCAGAGTCAGTTAGTAGTCAGAAGTGAGTGAGCTAGTGAGTTAGTAGTGAGTAATTAGTCAGTGAGTATTGAGCCAGTTACTACAGAACGAGTAACCCGTCAGTTGCAGTCTAGCTTTCGCCGGAGTGAATGGAAGCAGGAGAAGTAATTGTGATACTGCAGATGGCAGTAGTGGTGTAATTGTGAACTGTGTAAATGTAAGAGCGAGTGGACTAAAATCGCTATATCCAAGACGGAGTGAAGTTATTTGTCGCGTTATATACCCAACACGTGACAATACTCGCCGGTGTGACCCTGAGCGACTAACAGCTGCAAATTAACATTTACCTAGATTCGTGTCTCCGTCTTCGGATACCGGCGCTTTCAACCACATCTTCTTCAGTTTCATGGCGACGGGCGATTCCTCGGAAGAAGCCACTGCAACAACAGAAACGACATATATCAAACACAACTCATTACTTCAAAGTTTTTCTTTTGAAAAGCCACAACGCCGCAAGTCTGTAGAAAACAAGAGGAAACCTGGGTCGTTGGGTTCACAGCTTATGACATTTGTGTTGGTTAAGTTACTTGGTGAGATGAGGTGACAGCATGACAAAAACTGTTTCTACGTACAATCCCGTAATTTGTATGGAATGCGTCTTCGGTTATTTAGCGACACTGTTGTGACTGCAGTTTATATAGCGCTGGATGGGATGAGACAGGAAGAGTAAAAACGCTAGTAAGCATTTTAATGGTGCCTATCTCCGATTCCTTTTCCTCCAATTTAAACTTTAGGAACAACATGTAAATCGCATATCTGTGTATCGTCAGCATTTGCTGCCGTCCTACCGATATTTTTCCTGCATCAGTCACGGTATTCTACATAATGCCTGGGAAGCATATAAAATGCCTAAGCAAATTAAAAATAAATGCTCAGAATTCGCAAATCTGACGCTACGCCTACAGCTGTCAGGCCTGAATTCCATACACTGTCTCTTAAATACATACTACAGCAACAGTTAAGGCACTTCGTGTCGAAAACTATATGATTTCGTTACAATGACAAATAAAGCCGCAGCCTAAACCACGATCCTTCATTTCAATTGCTTCCTTATTTCCAGACCTCTAACAAAATATATGCATTCCGAAAAAGCGAAGTGACAGGCTACAAGGGACTTCCATTACGCGATGTGTGTTGCGGGCCATCACATACTTCATAATACGCAGAAGGCAACCGACACGTTAAACACTTCAGTAGCAAAAACTAAAAACGAACATTAGAATTCGATGTGGTATATTTTATTTACTTGTTTATTCATTTATCTATCTATGGATATTTAACGACGCTGTCATTAGCTTAGGTTACATAACGTCGTATTCATGAATAATATGCGAAAGTGGCTGTGGACTACTTAAACTAAATTCCATTTGTCGTTTATTTAACGACAAAGTCGGCGGCTCAAATTATATAGCCTCGAATGATTTAAATAGCCACTAATAAATAGGAGAGTAAGGCGCAGAGAAGTGGTCGTGGCCTGAGTAAAGGTATCATCTCAATATCTGCCTTGAAGGATTAAAGGAAACCAAGAAAACTCTAGGCAACGATTGCCTGTCCCTGGACCGAGATCTGAACACAATATATCCCGAATACGAAGCAAGAGTGAAAACCATACGACCGCAACGCTCGGTAATGTATAGTGCAAGGTTACTAACAGTGAATAATATGGATGTCTTTGTCACCGTTTATTTCTTGCACAGCCGCATAAAAGTAATTAGTCGTCAAACGTAATTGATTTCATGCATTCCGTGACTGTGCTAACAGTAATATCTGACAAAGTCTCCCATTTTAAACAGGCTGTACAGATTCCGAAGGAAACTGTGATCATCGGTCGAAATTTCGTCCCCGAATACGAAACTCTGTAGAGCAGCAGAGTCCTTGAGAAGCTAATGAGCGCTCACAAACTCAAGGAATTCCCAGCCTGTTACAGAACTCGAAGCTTCGTTAAAGTCTGCCAATGGACTCCATCCTGGGTCAACTGAATCCAGTGCACAGGCTCACACTCCATTCCTCTAACGCCGACTACAATATTATTGAAGAAAGCAGTCTTCTGGGATTTGGCACCGTGTATAAGTGGTGTTAACCGACGTTTCAGNTATTCATCACTCTATGCCTAGTCTAGTTTCACGACTACAATTCTATATATATCTCTCGTGCCTTTTAATCCCTTATATAAAAATATTACGTAGGTAAGTCAAAAATTATCTGCACTCTTGTTTTTCCAATCCATATATACAAAAGTAGGGGTTGAAAAAGTACTTTATTTTTCTATATAGTCTCCTCCCTTTTCGATGCACTTGGTCCAGCGGTCCAAAAGCTTGCGTTTTCCCTCTACGAAGCAGGTTTCCATTTGGTCGCGCAACCATTTATGCACCGCTTCCACCACTTCTTTGTCCGTAGAAAATCAAAAACCTCGTAAAACATCTTTGAGCGGTCCAAAGAGATTATGGTGGGAAAGGGCGAGATCTGGGCTGTAGGCAGGGTGTTCCAGCACCTCGAAACACAAATGGTTAATGGTTTCAACGGTCTGGCCGTCCTTGTGTGAGTGCTCATTGTCATGCAACAACACTTTCTTCGACAATAGGCCTCGGCGTTTTGGTGCGAATTGCTAGCTTCAGATTGTTGGCCAGCAAATCACTGTATCTTGCACTGTTGACCGTACACCCTTTTTCCAGGTAGTCTTCCAGTACAGGCCTTTTTGAGTCCCAAAAAAAACGGTTAGCATCACCTTTCTCGCGGAATATTGGGTCTTGAATTTCTTCTTCGTTGGCGATCTCAGGTGTTTACACGCCATACTCTGGCTTTTGAATTCTGGCTCATAGTGATGAACCCACATATGAATTTCAGCCCCTGACACACCTTCCAACCAGAGAAATCGGATCACTATTCTTTGTTAATCATTGGTGCACACTGCTAGCAAAGCGGCCATGTTTACACTGTCACAGCATCAAGGAAAATGATGCGATCAAGATAAAACTTCGATCACGTGACCACAGTAGTACCAACTCTAACAATGCATGCGTAGGAGGCAGTGTGACAAACCTAAAGATGTGTTATGTGGAAAGTGCAGATAATTTCTGACTTACCCTCGTAGAATTAGGTGTCAAGCTTAGAAATTCTATCTACGGCCTTAATACATACCTTCCAAAAAACGAATTTATAATGTACGAATATTATAACACAATCATATTTCGTGAGTTAAACTGAGTAGGGTATTACGAGGAGCGTTCCGTATATAATTCCTATTTTTTTAATGAAAACTACAACAGATACAGAAAGCATAATAACGCGGTTAAATAGAGCAAGATTTCAGCTACTTAGAGTTGTTCAGTTATTTTTCCACATAATCACCACCACCATTCGTTATGCACTTTTGCCAGCGATGAACACGAGCCTGTATGCCGTGCCTGTAAAAGTCTGCGCCAGCAGAGGCTAGCCACTTTCTTACAGCTGCAATGACAGCATCGTTGTCTGGAAAGTGTTGCCCACGTAGTCCGTCTTTCATAGGCCCAAAGAGATGGAAGTCTGAAGGTGCTAAACCGGGGCTATAAGGTGGATGTGGTAGGACAGTCCAGCCAAACTTTGCAATGTGCGTGGTGGTCGCCAAACAGGTATGCGGTCTAGCGTTATCGTGTTGCAAGCGAAAGGTTGTCTGCTTCTCTGGCCTGACTCGGGAAATGCGGGCTTTCAGCTTAGTCAGTGTCGTCTTGTAGCGTTCAGAATTGACAGTCTCACCAGGTTTCAGGAATCCAACAAAATCACACCCCGCCTATCCCAAAAGACCGTGCACATCACTTTCCCTGCCAATAGCTGTTTCTTGAACTTCTTTCTTGGGGATTCCTGATGTCGCCACTCCATGTACTGTCTTTTGGATTCCGGCTCGTAGTGGTGACACCACGTCTCATCTCCGGTGATGATGCTGTCCAGAAACATGCCACCTTCAGCCTCAAACTGGTGCAACACGTCCTGACAGACTTCAATTCGATGAGTTTTGTGGTCCTGTGTAAGCATCCGCGGGACCCACCTGGAACAAACTTTGCGATAATCCAGCTTCCCCAACATCGTTTCCAATGCATTACAGCCGATATTAAGCCGTGCACACAGTTCCCTGGTCGTTATCCGCCGATCTGTACGGATGAGGTGCTGTTCACTGTGAGGAGTGGCAGCTGAAAAGGGACGCCCAGGGCGTGGTGTGTCGTGCACTTCACTTTCGCCACTGTTGAAACGCACTACCCACCGCCTCACTGTGCTGACATCCACAGTATCGTCTCCGTACACTTTTAGCAATCGTCGATGGATGTCAATGGGTGCAATTTTTTCGGCAGTGAGAAATTCAATAACACATCTCTGATTCGTATGCACTTCTATGTCAGACGCCATTTTGGTAGACTGCTCTGCTGTCGCTATCTGTCGCACGACAACCAAAGTAACAGTACACTGGCGGGAAGGTACAACCTTTACTACAGTACCACCAACACCCAGTTCAGACGTTACAAATTAACAGAAAAAAAAATAGGAGGCATTATATACGGAACGCCCTTCGTACCTCTGGCAGTAACCATTCAGCATTCAGTGCTTCAGAGAATAAAAGCATTTCAAACGGTCTCTCCTACAGCCAAGTTCTATACAAGTAAGGTAAGCAAATCTGGAATCACGCGGTAACTGAAGGATAAACAAAAACCAGCCATTTATATCTGCCATATAACGATACGGTCTCCACTGAGACCAGAACACATGGACAACTGCCAGACACTGCGGGATCATGTAAATACAAAGTCCATGTAAAGCGAGTATCCCTCGCATTAACGCCACCTTCACGTACTACATTGAAAATATTTAAGAGTAACTGCTAAATTTAAATTGAAAGCAAATCTAAACAAAAATAATGCCACGCATAGATCGCAATTCACAAGAACGTAAAACAGTTTCCCTAACCACCCGTGAAAATGCACACTGAATTTTTATTTCAACTGCGACTCCACCGTTGATTTAATTACTCAACAAAGAGAAATAGGCCAATCTGTGGCCGCCGTGCCGAGTGGACCCAGTTGGACTCCACCCGTTACGAAGCGAAATTTTTACTTTAACTGTAAACATTCGAAATTTAGTGCAATTAATCTCTTCCATCATAGAAAAAAACACAATCCAATTCAAATTTTGCAAAGTTCCGTTCCCAAGTAGGCGCAATTAACAGGATCCAAATGCATTACAATGCTGAACGTAATTCAGTGCAAAAGAGTATTAAAGGTAGGTATTACCGTATGTTTGCAAGAACGTAAGTTGTGGGTGTGTGAGACGCGGGTGCTGAGTACGTACGAGAGCGGAAGAAGCAGCGACATGGGCAACAAACTGCAATGTTTCGTAATGCGTACACATCAAA